GTTTGTTCACCCTAAAATAAGCTAAGCGTATCCCTCTTTCAGTTCAATTTGAATTAATGTTATCACTTTATATATATATATAACACAAGTACTGACGTCATCCGGTGTCATTCATTTTTGCTATGTCAAGTAGCCTGTTCCAATAAGCAGTTTGAAGAACTGGTGGATGATAAATGGACGCATAAATTTTCCTTAAAAGCATTGTTCACCCAAAACTCTGTCATTTACTCACCCTTCACTTCAGATTCTTTCTTCAGTTGAACACAACCCTGCTGAAAAATCCAGCTTAAACCAGCCTAGGATGGTTGGCTGGTTTTAGCTGGTCGACCAGCCTGGTTTTAGAGGGGTTTTGGCCACTTCCAGGCTGGTTTCCAGCCATTTCCAACCTGGTTTTAGCTGGACAGGCTGGGAGATGACCAGCTAAACAAGCTTGATCAGCCTAGCCAGACTGGAAGCCCAGCCAAAACCAGCTATGTCTAGCTTAAACCAGAATGGTCAAACTGGTTTAAGATGGTTTTAGCTGGTCGTTTCCAGTCTGAAGCTGGTTTAAGCTGGATTTTTCAGCAGGGAAAAGAAGATATTGTGAAAAATGCTGGTTCCTGGGACCCGTACATCAATAGTAAAAAAAAAAAAAGATTCTAGAAGAAGAAGTCAATGGGTCCAACAACCCAAGTTTTCTTTAAAATATCTTATTTTAAAAGTTCTAAAACCACAGGAGGGAGAATAAATACTGACAGAACTTTTATTTTTGGGTGAACTATCCCTTATTGTATGAATAAATGCAAGTATGAATTTGATTAGAATTTTAATAGACCTATTTTGTCCATTTCCAATCAACATGCTGCATTGACATATAGCTGAACTATTTAGATTTTATGTTGTGTTGGAAAGTGACCAAAATCCAACGTTGAGCCAACATCTTAAACCAGCGTCATATTGACGTCAGATACTGACATTTATTCGTCAGGTATGACAACCAAAATCCAACATCTGACAGACGTCATAGTGGTAACGCCAACACAACGTCAAGCTGTAACATCAATAGACGTTGATATTTGGTTGATTTTACGTTGAATTGGAAAGTGACCAAATCCGATATCTCATACATCCAATGTACGACGTCGTACATTGGAAACTCAATCTGACGTTGCGTTCTGTTGTTAGCCTGCTTCTCCCTTCCACCCAAAATGCAACATCCCCTGACATTGGAGTGTGTTGATGTCATGTTGATGTCCGGTACCTGGTGGGTTTTGTCCATTTTAGATTTGTATCAACATGCTGCATTAACATATAGTTGAACTGTTTTGATAAACTTTCCTGTTCCATTAAAATTCCGCCCATTGATGTCAAATTAGATTTCATAAAACACACAACAGTGAGACAACAATCCCAGCAGACACACAACACCACGAGACGTTACTAATAGGTTAGATTTAGGTCGTGATATCAGGTGACCAAAATTCAATGTCTAGCCAGCGTTTTAGGAAAATGTTATTTTTATGTCCGATAATGACGTCAAGTTACGTTGATATTTATTCCAACATCTTAAACCAATATCATATCCACGTCAAATACTGACATTTATTTGTCAGGTATGGCAACCAAAATCCAATGTCTGATAGACGTCATAGTGGTAACATCCACACAACTTCAAGCTGTAACATCATTAGATGTTAATACTTGGTTGTTTTTAGGCTGCGTTGGAAAGTGACCAACATCCAACATCTGTCTGACATTGGACATTGACGTAGGCCTGACGTTGAGTTCTGATGTTAACCCGATTTTAATTTCCACCCAACGTCCCTCGGTGTTGGGGTACAACAACAATCTGATGTCATGTTGACGTCCTGTGCCTGGTGGGTTTTGTCCATTTTGGATTTGTATCAATATGCTGCATTAACATATAGTTGAACTATTTTGTTCCAATAAAAATTCCGCCCATTGCTTGTCAAGTTCATATTAGATTTGATAAAAAAACACAAGAGTGACGCCCCATTTACACGGGGCTTCAGCGTCAACGCTTGACTAAAGGCGTGTCTGAAGTTGGGGCTGACACGATCGTCATAGCAGCGTCAGCAAATGAAATTCAGTCAGCAATAGGCCACTGTCTAGCTGGTGTATTTGCATACAGCGATCTGATTGGCTGAAGCGTCCATCGGTGCTTGAAAATTTGAGCTAGTCCCAACTTCTGCAGCAAGCAACGCCTCTGAAGCGGCGCCGACGAATCCACAATGCAGTTCAAAGTGAATGTGAAGCGTTGACGCTGACGCCCCTAGTGAATGGGGCGTGAGACAACAACCCCAGCAGGCACACAACACCATAAGACAGTTATAATAGGTTAGATTTAGGTCGTAATGATGGACAACATTATTTTAACGTACAATAACATGAAATGAGTTGATATTTGGCTGATTTAAGGTTGTGCTGGAAAGTGACCAAAATCTGTTGAGCAAACATCTTAAACCAACGTCATATTGATGTCAAATACTGACATTTATTCTTCAGTTGTGGCAACCAAAATCCAACGTCTGATAGACGTCATAGTTTTAATGTCCACACAATGGCAAGCTGTAACATCGTTAGACATCTGGTTGATTTTAGGTTGGATGTTGGACAATGACGTCAGCCTGATGTTGGGTTCTGACATCAACCCAATTTTCATTTCCAAACAAAATTCAACGTCCACATGACAATCATAAGTCATAAGACTTTAATCTTACGTCATGTTGATGTCCTGTGCCTGCTGGGATGAAACCATTTTCTTCCCCCCTCCCTTTTTTTTTTAAGTAAAGCCACTTCTAACTAGATAAAATGTACTAACAATTGATAAAGCAGATCAGAAAAGGTCTGTCATCAAAACAGTAGTGCAGTGGATAGTGAGTAGAGTTTTGTCCGTATCAATCCTGTGCACCCTTCACCTTTATCTCAATTTTCCAGATGTCAATCTACAGGCTTTTAAATAAAAGATTTAAAACGTCTCATTAAAATCAAACCAATGCTTTCAGTGTACAAAAAAAGACTTACTGTGAGGCTGAACTGCTGTAAAACCAATGTGTACCGAAACTCTCTGAAGTCTTGATTCATTTCCATCTCTGAAACAGAAGTTAGGAGCATTTCTTTGTGTAGAGCTAAAGGAGAAAGACAAAGTGCCGGCGCCGCAGCAGATAGCAAAGATGAAAAAACATTTCATGCACAGCTCAGCACCACAGGCTTCATTTCAGTTGGGCCCCTGCTTCAAAAAAATCCATGTTTTATTTGTTTAATATCTTGCTCTTTCTCAGTATAGAACATTCTACTTGGCTTTCACTCTTTTGTCTCCAACTTTCCATTTCCTGGTTTTGACAAGTTCAGTACATTGCCAAATAGTACATAAAATACAAGGCAGTGTAAGCTGTCTTCAATTCTCCACATTTCCTCAGATACACAAATACAAACACAGCAGAGTAGAACAGAACTGTTATGGCAACACCCTTTCTCTCTATCTACCATAGTACATTTTCGGATAAGTGCTTCTTTCTGATGTAGTTTTCCCAAAAATTTTAATTCTGTCATCATTTATGGACCTTTTACTTGTTTCAAACTTTAAAGGCCCCGGAATACTTCAGACGAAGGTCTTTATTGATATTCATTTGAGGGCGAAAAAAAATGTGAAAAAAGTGACGGTATACTCAGTGCCTAATTTTTGAGTTGCGAGGTCCCGGAACAGATCGGGCTATAGGATCCGTGAATTTTAGATGACAAAGGGGTGTCGCGGACGGTGGACGAAAGTGAAGAGCAGTGGGTTGTTGGGGACATAAGTGAAGAGGGTTGGGAAGTCGAGGAAGAAAGTGAAATTGAACAGCGCACAAGGGGAAGAGGGCGGTTGAGGAGGGGGGATTGGTAAAATGGGCTGTAGTAGGTGGGTTATAAATGTGTAACGCTGCTCGTATGTACTCCTAAACAACAATGGCAGCTGACAGAGAAAAACAGTTTTATAAACATCCAGCAAAGAGTCTTCCTCATTAGGTGCACCACATATCTTACATACATTGTTGTCTATTTGCCGTGGACAGACATCGAATGGAGCTGATAGAAAAGACATGAGTTGTCTGCACTAATTGTCTAGTGCAGGGGTGCCCAAACTCGGTCCTGGAGGACCGGTGTGCTGCAAATTTTAGTTCCGACCCCTGTTAAACACACCTGAACCAGCTACTTAAGCTCTTTCCTGGTGGATTTATGCGAGAACAGCAGTCGCGAATGGCACTCGCAACAGGAATTAGAGACCTCAAAAAGCATACACAGCGGCCTCTGGTGGATTCCTAAAAACAAAAACAGCAAAAAAAAAAAAAAACATACCTCCTTGGACGTATTTGGCACTCTCCAGCGGTTCATTTTCAGGATTTTCAGAAAAATTTTATTTCAGCCGAATTTTATTCAAAGTGTCATTTCAGTTCGTTCTTCGATATCGTTTAAAGTATAGCGGGGCCTCTATGAGTTTCCTTTTTTTTCTGTTGAACACAAAAGATATTCTGAGGAAAGCTGGAAACCTCTAACTATTGACCTACTTACCCCCCATTTACACAGGGCGTCAGCGTCAACGCTTCCCATTTACTTTGAATGGGTGACCTCAGGCGTTGCTGAACTGCATTGTGGATCCAACGGCGTTGCTCGCTGCAGAAGTTGGGACTAGCTCAACTTTTCAAGCGCTGATGGAAGCGTCAGCCAACCAGATCACTGTATGCAAATACAACAGCTAGACAGTGGCCTATTGCTGACTGAATTTCATTGGCTGACGCTTCTATGACGATCGCTTCAGCCCCAACTTCAGACACGCCTTCAGTCAAGCGTTGACGCTGAAGCCCCGTGTAAATGGGACATTAGTGTTTGGTTTCCTTACTATGGACTTCAATGATTACAGGTTTTCAGCTTTCTTTAAAATATCTTCTTCGTTATTTAACAGAAGAAAGAAACTCAAAGGTTTGGAGAACCACTTGAGGGCAAGTAAATAATCAGTAAATCCCTAATATTAGAATATCTTTTTATTGTCTAACTGCTGGCTTTAATGAATGGGATGAAAGCATTGACACAAGGAAAAATAATTATTTTTAGCAAAAAAAGAAAATCACCACCTTACAAAATTATACAACATTCTGATACACTCTCTATCTCCACAGTGAAGGTCCACAGTGTTATGGTACAAATTCCTGGTTTCCTTCTAAAACCCTTTGTCTTCTTCTTCCTAAGACCTGAAGCTGTGGTGAACATCATCTCTAGGTAATGTAAGTGATTAAAGAATATTATTTTGTGCTAAGAATGTGGCTAAGAAGCAACCTGCAAACCATAAGCCAGCTTAACAGAACAGTCTTTGTGGAAAATATTTATAGAAACATAACAATCTTTTTGAAACAAGCACATTTAGAATTTTTGTAGGGAAAGATTCCTTCATATTGATGTGATTTTGACAAATACAAGAGGTGAGACCTTCATGTTGGTGAACACTTTGACAGTTTGTTTAAATAATGAGAGAGCTTGGCTTGTCTGGCTCTGATTGATTGGGGGATTTAACCTTGAGTAAGTGAAAACCCATGTTTGAATATTACATTTTGGCTATCAGCAGGCCTTTCATAGTAATAAAATAAAGTAAAACAAACAGCAATCAGAGTAAAAAAAGAGAGTCATGATGGTGTCCAATATCTAACTTGCGTACTTGTGTATCTATCAACACACCAGGGTTTAGTTGCAGTTATAAAAAAAAATGAACAGTTCCTCAAAACACATAAGCCCATTTCAATCATCTTACCAACTTTACACCAGTCTGAAACTTGAACAGTCACTATAACGCTTCTTAGACGTTATGAGAGTAGCATCAGGCAGCTTTCAAGTGAATGAGATTTCATATTTATTTAGTTTTTGAGGCATTTCAAACCTTGCTGTAGTTTTTGTGGCCATGTTTCTGCTTGTTTTAAATTTATTAGGAATCGTAGTCATGTTCTCCAGCTCATATCCCCAAAAATCAACTATACATGTGATCCCATGCATTTCTCAGAAAGATCACTTGCCATTTCCAGTTTCCTCCTAGCAGAGAGATTATCTTGCTTGATGCAGGACTCACAATCTTGGATGAAATCCAGCTCATAGCAGACAAATATTAAAATGTACAGCAGAATGTTTATTTTTACGAGACGATAGTCTCTCTTTCTCTCCCATGTAGGCATTGAGCTCTATGAACAGTCTGGGAGCTGAATGCGGTGTGGGATGCCCTTGAATTCACCTCAGTGCACCAGCCAGAGATAAAACAGCAATGTCAGGGACACTGATCATTACACCGGGAGGTGAAAATAGCATTTGGTATCACCACCTGAAATGGCATCATCGCCTCCTGGCACCACATTTATAATGCTTCCTATAAGCATCTGGGCCAATTAAAAGTTTAATAGTGTCATGAACAGCAGGCTACATTGTAATGGAGACCAAAAGGCACAAAGGGATTCTGCAGAGCCCATGTTGATTAAAAACGGTGTATCTATGCAATACATAACTTCTAATTATGTTTTCTAAGTCAGAGCTATCATGTGTAAGAGTAATCTATATCTGGAATACCTCCTTCTCTATAGCCACGGTTGGTACCGTAGCCAGAGTTGGTGATGTTTTGGGATGGCTTGTATAAACCTGTGCCATTTGAGGGGAAGATGGTGTGTATAATGTAATCCTCTCGGACTGGTTTGGGCTGAATGGGCTGCCTTGTTGCCATCGGTGTCATCTGGAATCCAGGACCTCTGATCTCAAGGATGGTATTGTCTTTTTTTGTGCCTGACTCAATGTAATCGTCATAGTTCTTGCTTTTGCGAGCACTACTATGACTGTAGTGGTCTCGTGATGTGAAGCGTCCGGCACGATGCCCATACCAGCAAAAGATTGCAATGATCAGAGCTAGGGAAACTATTGCAGTAGCACCTCCAATAATTCCAGCAAGTGGAAGAGAAGTCATTTGATCAGAGCCTTCGGTTTCGCCTTGTTCATCATCCGGCTGGTTGGGATCAGATGTTTCAGTTCTGGCGCAAACGGGAACGTCATTTGATTCTGCGTCCCCCCCAGGCAAACCACTTCTGCTTCCACTGTTAGACACTAGAGGCACCATGCAGATGATGTAGCTTGAAGCAGGCTGTAGGGAAGTTAGTAGGTACTCTCGCCGGTCACCCCTAACTAAGGTTTCTGTGATGGAACCCATAGCAGAACTCGTTCCCAGGCGAAGCCAGCTTAATCGAAAGGATGAAGATGTTTGTGCTACACTCCAAGTAACGCGGATACTATCATGTGATAGGGGTTTCACATTTAGAGCCAGGTTCTTCCCAACACCACTGCTGCTTAATGTGTAGTCCAGCCCTGAATCTGGAAGTCCCAAGCCTGGTCGCTTGGATCTGAGAGTAAAGAGGGATCCTTGAGGGGGAGAAAGTGTGGTAGAAACAGCTCCTCCACTCATCCTGTTCCCACCAACCCCAACTCCTGCTCCTACTCCTCCACCCCCTGCAGCAGCCAGCTCACATTCATCCATTTGATTCGTAAGATCTCTGAGAGCCATGTCTCGGACTCTCTCTGGTGTCAGACATATAAAGCCTCTCACGGTAATTGTGTTCCCTTTTGCCTCAAGCCAGTCATGAAGCCAGCGCAAATTGCACCCGCAGTGCCATGGGTTTCCCCGCACAAGCAACTGCCCGAGAGTATCCAAATCTCTGAACAACCCCCTAGGAAGGGTAGTCAGATTGTTTCCAGAAAGATCTAGGCGCTGTAGTCTGCGCATTCCATCAAGTGAGCCCCGAGGCACGTGTATGAGATTATTGTCCTGTAGGGAGAGTCTTTGCAGATGGGCACTGGGCAAATTAAGGGGAGGTGTCTGAAGTGAATTACGCACCAGGGAGAGTTCTGTAAGGTTTGACAGGCGTGAGAAGGTATCATCGGCTATACGTTGATTCGCTAAAAGATTACCATCCAGGACTAGGCGACGTAAAGAGGACAAACCTCGGAAGGCATGCGTGGGAATAGTTGAGATTCGGTTGTCGTCTAAACGAAGCTCTTCGAGTGAGGCAGGAAGACCAGATGGGATGCTGGAAAGGTGGTTTCTGGAAAGGAAGAGTAGGCGCAATCGAGGGTTGTCCGCAAAGGCTTGATCCTCAATGCTTACTGTAGAAACAGAGTTGTCGTCTAGATGTAACTTCTCAAGGAGTGGAAGTCTAGCAAGTGCAGCCCTTGGCAACACTCTAATGTTGTTGTCCTGGAGGTGGAGCTCTCTTATCGAAGGTGGCAAATGCATGGGGAAATCATCCAGCTCGTTATCATAGAGATATATAACACGCACAGTAGTGTGATACTCCAAGGACCTAGGAAGCCCTGCGTTGTCAATGTGATTGTTCTGAAGATAAAGAACAGTTGCGGATGGTGGCAAAGGTGGGATTGCGCTCAATCCACGGTCGTTGCAGTAAATGAAGTCCTCATCACAGCGGCACACAGAAGGGCACACTATGTCATCCTCCCCATCCAATCCTTGTGAGGACGCTGCAGTCATCTCCAGTAGCTCAGCCAATAGCGTGAAGCATAGCAACAGGAGAAAGAGCAAGTCTCGAAGCTCCCCTATACCTTCTGGAGCCATCATGCAAGCTCTCCTCGTCTCCGCTTGCCTTTTATAGCACAGTTCAACCAGTATAAGGGTTCTTTACAGTAGACAGTTCAGAAGTCCATTTAGACCTTGGATTTGTGGCGTGTTTTCTTTCACCCTGGAAAACAAAGATAAGAGGGGAGAGAGAAAAACAAGATAGTTAGCAAGATAATATCTACACAATTTTATGTTCCAATAAAATTGAATCAAATGGCAACACTATATATATGGAAGCACATGTTAAGAAAATCCTATCCCAATTGCTTGGTCACCCTGAATAGCAATTTCAATTTGTAGTTTTGTAAACATTTAGCTTTTCCAGTAACAGCTACTCTCTAACATATAGCGGTGTAGCACAGGTTTTCATATCTCGTTGCATTTCACAGAATGCAGGGATTTTTGGAATTGTTTAGATAACATTTAACATATTTCTGTGAATGAACATCGCCTCGTGGTTCCATCCCAAAGAGGGAAGAAATCACTTTCCCGAACTCTCGCGCTCAATTTGCCCAGTTGGTGGAATGAACTCCCTAACTGCATCAGAACGGCAGAGTCACTCGCTGTCTTCAAAAAACTACTAAAAACTCAACTATTTAGTCTCCACCCTCCTTCCTAATCTGCAATTGCCTCTCTGGCTGTATCACTAACTCATTTGTAAGTCGCTTTGGATAAAAGCGTCTGCTAAATGACTAAATGTAAATTTAGTATATGGGCACATTGTTGCCCATATATATATATATATATATATATATATATATATATATATATATATATATATTCTTTTTAATGGAGATATTTTTTTCAACACATTTCTAAACATGATAGTTTTAATAACTAATTTCTAATAATGGATTAATTTTATCTTTGCCATGATGACAGTAAATATTATTTGACTAGATATTTTTCAAGACACTTCTATACAGCTTAAAGTGATATTTAAAGCCTTAACTAGGTTAATTAGGTAAACTAGTCAGGTTAGGGTAATTAAGTTATTGTATAATGATGGTTTGTTCTGTAGATTAATAAGAGAAAATAGAGCTTAAAGGGGCTAATAATTTGTCCCTAAAATGGCGTAAAAAATATATAAACTGCTTTTATTCTAGCCGAAACTAGCCGAGACTTTTTCCATAAGAAAATAAATTATTAGTCATATCAGTAATAATCATCTTATCAGTAATAATTCTGACTTATACTGTATATATATATATATATATATATATATATATATATATATATATATATATATATATATATATATATATATACAGTTTCTGAGAAAAACTACTCAATTACAGTAGTTTGAGTATTTGTAATTAGTTACTTTAGACCACTGCTGTCTATAGATACACAAATAAAAATATTTCACATTTAATATATAAAATTTTTTAATAAAGTTTCTTTTTCAACAATGTAAAGTTAAAAAAAAATTCTCAATGTCAAAAAATGCTTCTAAATTATCATATTGACACACACACCTTTTCAGTTTCAGGTTTCTTTTCAATTTTGTGTGGTGCTGCATTATTTAGTCGACTCTGATTTTGTGTTCCTTTCTGGTCTACCGCTGTCAATGGAGCAGTCCGGCAAAATGACAAAGAAAGTTGATCCTGATTGGTCCTCGTGTGCATTCGAAATGCTGATTGGCTCACAGAAAAAAAACTTACAGAGCCAAACTACAGTTCGACTTTTTAGATTAAGCCTGTTTTGTTTTTTAAATAAACAATCTTCAAATGTAAACAACTATTAAAAAACATCACATAATGTAAATAAGTTCATTCATTCATTTTCTTGTCGGCTTAGTCCCTTTATTAATCCGGGGTCGCCACAGCGGAATGAACCACCAATTTATCCAGCAAGTTCTTACAAAGCAGACGCCCTTCCAGCCACAACCCATCTCTGGGAAACATCCACACACACACTCATACACTACGGACAATTTCACCAGTACCGCATGTCTTTGGACTGTGGGGGAAACCAGAGCACTTGGAGGAAACCCATGCGAATGCAGGGAGAACATGCAAACTCCACAAAGAAACACCAACTGAGCCGAGGCTCAAACCAGCGACCTTCTTACTGTAAGGCCACAGCACTACCTACTGCGAAACTGCTTCGCCCATGTAAATAAGTTGTTATTTAATAATAATAATACGTGAATAACAGAATTTTGACAAAAATGTCAGATAGAATCTTATAATTCTAAGGTTTCGATTTAATAAACACAACATAAGTAATACAAGGCACACTCAGAGAGAGAGAGAGAGAGAGTGAGAGAGCGAGAGAGATACCCTGAAGAGGTTTTATGCTGCTCGGCTGGAAACATAACCTCACAGAGAAAGCTCTGGATGGTTAATTCAATATTTGAACCTCATGATTTGATTAAAGGAAGGCATTGCAATAGAAATGTATTGTAAAAAAAACTGTTTTAATAAAATAACACTGGTAAATTGTTTGTATTTGCACTGGCTCTTTCAGAATTTCTTTTCCCTGATTCCTATTCTACGAGCTGAGCAACCCAGCAAGTTCACCAAGCTAGAAACCCCATACATATGAAGCTGATTATACGATGCAAACCTCCGAATGTATTATTTTTGTTTTCAAATCATGCGTTATGTAAAAGTGTTTAGGTGTCTGAAATTGTGCTGCACAAAAATCTATCCCAAATCTACCCTTGTAATCATAATCTGTGTGAAAATGTATACAATTTTCAGTGCAGCCAGCTGTATAGGCTGAGGCACGTTTTTTTCCAATGAGTCGGTGTTGATTATGTGTGTGTGTGTGTGTGTGACATAGACATCACTGAATCCACCACAGCTAAGAGAGCAGGAGATTGACTATAATTGGACATCCACACTGCAGCTGTCATTGCATGTGTGTGTGTGCATCTACAGTATTCTGGTGTATGGATGTTTGCACCGCTACATGCCATATGTATACGCATGCCATTCTCAGTCAGTGTGTGTATGTGAGATGTTTGGGTGCACGTGTGTGGAGTGTGGCAAAGTTGCGATGGGACTTGTAAAAATGGGGCTGTCCAGACAGACTGTCGCCTCGGGGGTGTGTTGCTCGCTCTCCTGTCCAATATTCCTGCAGTGGGAGGGCAGGACAAGACTATATCAATTTACATCCAGGGACTCTGGGACGGACAAGAGAAACAACTGACTGCATGTGTATCTCTTCGGGTATCTACCACTAAAACGAACAGGCTAATAAAATAATATCCGCCTATATCCACTGCCACTTTGGTAGTGTGAAGTAAAACTGTATTTAATGTGGAAAGAATAATACACATGTCTGATTTTTCTTTCGAGAATAGCTGTCACAAGAGGGTTTTTCTTCCCGCTATATTTATATACACTCACCGGCCACTTTATTAGGTACACCTGTCCAACTGCTCGTTAACGCAAATTTCTAATCAGCCAATCACATGGCAGCAACTCAATGCATTTAGGTATGTAGACATAGTCAAGACGATCTTCTGCAGTTCAAATCGAGCATCAGAATAAGGAAGAAAGGTGATTTAGGTGACTTTGAACGTGAAATGGTTGTTGGTGCCAGATGGGCTGGTCTATTTCAGAAACTGCTGATCTACTGAGATTTTCACGCATAACCATCTCTAGGGTTTACAGAGAATGGTCCAAAAAAGAGGAAATATCCAGTGAGCGACAGTTCTGTGGGCGCAAATGCTTTGTTTATGCCAGAGGTCATGCAGAAGAGCATCTCTGAATGCATAAAACGTCCAACCTTGAGGCGGATGGGCTACAGCAGCAGAAGACCACACCGGGTGCCACTCCTGTCAGCTGAGAACAGGAAACTGAGGCTACAATTCACACAGGCTCACCAAAATAGGACAATAGAAGATTGGAGAAACGTTGCCTGGTCTGATGAGTCTCGATTTCTGATGCGACATTCAGATGGTCGAGTCAGAATTTGCCATCAGCAACATGAAAGCATGGATCCATCCGGCCTTGTATTGACAGTTCATGTTGTTGTTGGTGGTGTAATGTCCATCCCTTTATGACCACAATGTACTCATCTTCTGATGGCTACTTCCAGCACGATAACCCGCCATGTCATAAAGCCCGAATCATCTCAGACTGGTTTCTTGAACATGACAATGAGTTCACTGTACTCAAATGGCCTCCACCGTCACCAGACATCAATCCAATAGAGCACCTTTTGGATGTGGTGAATTGGGAGATTCACATCATGGATGTGCAGCCGACAAATCTGCAGCAACTGCATGATGCTATCATGTCAATATGGAGCAAAATCTCTGAGGAACATTTCCAGTCCCTTGTTTAATCTATGCCACGAAGGATTAAGGCGATCCTGAAGGCAAAGGGATCGAACCCGGTACTAGCCAGATGTACCTAATAAAGTGGCCAGTGAGAGTACATGATAGTGTAATTTTAGATGTGAATTTTTAACATTCTGTCAAGGGTCTACAGATGAAAAATTGCCATTCTTGACTAATTCTGGCACATTTTACAGTAATGTTTATTAATGTGCGTTGAATAAAATAAATGGAATTAAATAAGAGCCATAAAACAACCTATAATATTTTGATTTCAAGTTCTATAGATATACAGAATCATTTACAGTTTATTTTAAGATACAATTCTCGATAATAACAAAGCATTTACTATGTCTTTTGCTTCAATAAACTCTTAATTTGGGACAGCACAGTGGTGCAGTGGGTAGCACAATCGCCTCACAGCAAGAAGGTTGCTAATTCGAGCCCCAGCTTGGTCAGTTGGCATTTCTGTGTGGAGTTAGCATGTTCTCCCCGTGTTCGCGTGGGTTTCCTCCTAGTGCTCCAGTTTACCCCACAAGTCCAAAAAAGTGGTAGGTGAATCGGGTAAGCTAGATTCTCCATAGTGTATGTGTGTAAATGATTGTGTATGGATGTTTCCCAATGATGGGTTGCAGCTGGAAGGGCATCCGCTGCGCAAAGAAATGCCGGATAAGTTGGGGGTTCATTCCGCTGTGGCAACCCCAGATTAATAAAGGGACTAAGCCGAAAATAAAATGAATGAATGAATGAAACTCTTAATTTGTTGCTTATTCATGGTTATTTTATAGAGGTTATATTTAACAAAGATAAGATTAGGCATGTAGAAT